TAATTAATCGTATATTGACAGGCATAATTTCTTCCAGTTTGGCACTGCTTTAAAAGCTACAGTTCTTACAGCATCAGTAAACCTTCCTTATGTCTGTCTGAATAATTTTATTAAGTAACAAGTCTGGAGATAAATAGTTAAAATTTTGAACTGTAGCTTAAAAACTGATCCATTGTATATGGTAATTAATCGTACATTGACAGGCATAATTTCTTCCAGTTTGCACTGCTTTAAAAGCTACAGGTCTTAAAGCATCAGTAAAACTTCCTTATGTCTGTATGAATGATTTTACCAAGTAACAAGTCTGGAGATGAAGTAGTTAAAATTTTATCCCTGGCAGAGAGATAGAGTAAAAGTCTTGTTTTGCACCAATTAGCCCTGAAATGCATGAAATTAAAGTCAACATTTTTTACGTATAGAGCGATTGTTCAAACAGTGAGATCATAGCGGTTTTGTACGCCTAACATTTGGACAGATTTGTACTAAATATTGGTGTTACTGGTTCGATTTAAGGCATATAATAAAACGAACAAAAATATGTCAAAGTAGGATAATTTGATATATCATTGTTTTCAAAATATCAAAATTGAAACAGATGTTTCTAGAAGTTCGACACAATTTATACGGCTAATCGAATAGCGATGCCCTTCCACATTTGTGCAAAAATTATTTCAGGATGTGCCTAAAAACGGCCGAAATTTGCCGAAGGAGGACGCATAATCCAAGATCGGCGCGGTTTCAAAATTTTATTACCGTCCTACTGTCAAATAATGTTAACAGTGAAAATAAGGATTACTACTGAATGAAACTGTAACGAAAAGAAAGACATGGGAAAAAGCTACCAGAGGATGTAAAAATATGCTCTTCAAACGTACTATATAGCATAAAAAGACTAATACAAAATTGTCTGTCTAAAGTTTTTGTTCTAAAATCTCGGCCATACAATGAATTCCAATGGTGCACCTTTGACAGCAGCGCGTTCTAAAACTCCACTTCGTTTTCTTTCAAAATTAAAGCATCAGTAAGCATCAGTCAAGCTTTCGTATGTCTGTCTGAATTATTTTGTCAAGTAACAATTCTGTGGAGAACAAGTATTTCAAATTTTGCCCTTTCAAAACTGACCAATTGTATATGGTAATTAACCGTATATTGAGAGGCATAATTTCTTCCATTTTGGCATTGCTTTAAAAACTGCAAGTCTGAAAGCATCAATGAAGCTTTCCTATGTCGGTCTGAATGATTTGCCAGGTAACAAGTCTGGAGAACAAGTATTTCAAATTTGGCCGTTTCAAACTGACCCGTTGTACATGGTAATTTAACCCCGCATACATTGACAGGCATAATTTCTTCCATTTTGGATTAAGTATTTCAAATTCTGCCCTTTCAAAACTGACCCATTGTATATGGTAATCAACCATACATTGACAGGCGTAATTTCTTCCACTATGGCATTGCTTTAAGAACTGCAAGTCTGAAAGCATCAGTAAAGCTTACTTCTCTCTGTCGAAATGATTTTACCAAGTAACAAGTCTAGAGATCAAGTATATAAAAATTTGCCCTGTCAAAACTGACTTAGTGTATATGGTAATTACACATATATTGACAGGCATAATTTTTCCCATTTTTGCACTGCTTTAAAAGCTGCAAGTCTGAAAGATTCCTTATGTCTGCATGAATGATTTTGCCAAGTAACAAATCTGGAGATGAAGTAGTTAAAATTTTGCCCCGTAAAAACTGACCCATTGTATATGGTAATTAATCGTATATTGACAGGCATAATTTCTTCCAGTTTGGCACTGCTTTAAAAGCTACAGGTCTTAAAGCATTAGTAAAGCTATCTTTATGTCTGTCTGAATGATTTTATTAAGTAACAAGTCTGGAGATGAAATAGTTAAAATTTTGCCCTGTAAAAACTGACCCATTGTTTATGGTAATTACATGTATATTGACAGGCATAATTTTTTCTATTTTTCCACTGCTTTAAAAGCTGCAAGTCTGAAAGCTTCCTTATCTCCATCTGAATGATTTTACCAAGAAACAAGTGTTTAGATGAAGTAGTTGAAATTTTGCCCTGTAAAAACTGACCCATTGTATATGGTAATTAATTGTATATTGACAGGCATAATTTCTTCCAGTTTGGCACTGCATTAAAAGCTACAGGTCTTAAAGCAGCAGTAAAGCTTCCTTATGTCTGTCTGAATGATTTTACCAAGTAACAAGTCTGGAGGTGAAATAATTAAAATTTTGCCCTGAAAAACAAACTACAAAAACCAATATATCTTCACAAAGCCTCAAAACCATGCATGATATGAAAAAGGATGAAGATATAATAATCAAACCAGCAGACAAAAGAGGAGCCATTGTGATATGGCCAATGGCAGATTATCTTACTGAGGCCTATAGACAACTTTATAATTAGAAACCCCCTGAAATTTTAACTGAAACAAAAACCCTAGCACACAAACTTCACAAATTTAAGGCCATTGACAAAACAACATTTAAATATCTCACAACTGACACTCAAGCCAGGACATCACAACTATACCTTTTACCCAAAATACACAAACCTAACATCCCAGGTCGACCTATTATCTCCGCTTGTGGTGGACCAGCAGTCAAGCTTTCTCAATATGCTGACCATCTACTCAAACCACTTCTACAACACATACCATCATATGTCCAGGACACTACAGACTTTCTATGCTGGATATTTGCTCAGAATAAAACACTACCAGACAAGTTCATACTTATTACTATTGACGTCAGAAGTCTCTGTACCAACATACCTAATGATCAAGGCATCCAAGCCTGTATAGATATGTTGAAAGAAATCAACACAATTACCACTGAAATGTAGAAACTAGTTCATGACATCCCATCCCTTGTACTTAAGAAGAACGCCTTTGCTTTTAACAACGAACGATTTTTACAAATTCACAGCACTGCTATGGGATCAGCAATGGCACCTACCTATGCAAACATATTCATGGCAGCACTGGAGCAGGAGGTCCTCCAACAAGCTCCTGAAAATCATATACCTATTGAATGGATAAGATTTATAGATGACATATTTGCAATTTGGACACGTAGCACTGACAAACTGTAAAAATTTCTTAAATACATAAACAATTTCCATCCTACCATCAAATTTGACTTTTCCTTCTCTGAGAAATCTGTCAACTTCCTTGACACAACTATCTACAAAAACAAAAACAACAAACTGGAATCAGACCTGTACATTAAACCAACTGACAAAACCCTCCTACTACACAAAAGCTCATTTCACCCCACCACATGCAAGAATACAGTCATCTAAAGTCAGGCACTACGATACAGACGCATTATTACAGACAACAACAAATTAAAACAACGACTAAACCACCTCCTGATTGCACTGATCCATTGCGGATATCACCATGACACCATCACCGCTAACTTCAACAAAGCCCTACAGTACACTCAAACAGACCTACTCAATAGGAAACAAAACCAAAAGAACACAAGCCGCCCAATTTTCTCAATTCCATACAACACAAAACACAAAATACATTACAAACATCCTACGTAAACACTGGAAACTATTGGAGAATGACCCCACACTGAGGAGTCTATGGCAAGAAGCTCCAATTGTAGCCTACCAATGCAATACTAACCTGAGAGACACGCTTATCACAGCCAAACTTAATACCAGAAACAACACTAACCAAACATAACAACATCCCATAACCCAAATCACCCAAGTCTTCCATCAACCCCAAACTTAACCAAAACCAGCCAAAAACCTCCACACCACCCTGAACACAGAGATAATAAATTTCCCAGCTAACACACAACGTAAACACAACGTTGGTCGAAGGTTGTGGCAACGTTAGGTCGGACTTTACTTTACTACGACGTACATACAACGTTTTTCATTTTCAGTAGAAAATATGTTCGTGGAGCAAACGTTGTACCAACGTTGCAGTTAGCAGTGTGCATTACGACATTCAACTGACGTTGGTACGACGTTATGTTTTAACGTTAACGCAACCTTTTATTATGAGGTACTAAACGGACATTTATACCACGTCTAGGCAACGTTATAGATTAACTTTGGTTTAACGCTACGGCATTACCTTCTGAAAACGTCTGCCCAACGTTACGTTATTACTTTAAAAGTACGTTCCCCACTAGCGAAATGAACGTGGTGCAGAAACATTCTAACAACGTTTGCGCAACGTTATATTTTACGCATAGACAACGTTACAGGCTAACATTCTAACCACATCTTAGCAACGTTACTTTATAACGTTGAAACAACATTCGCCTCCAACAAAATGAACGTGGCGCAGAAACATCCCAAAAACGTTTGCCTAACTCTACATAAAGCAACGCACGTTTAGATACGTACATCATATCGCCTAACTCAACTGCTATATTAAAATAAAATTCGTCTTAAATGTATCGATCGGCATGATCGAGTATAATCAGACAGACGTACGCGAACGCTGTGTTTAGTACACAGCAAAAAATCAATTTCTTAATTTAAGAAAAAAAAACTTATATTAAGATTTTTTTTCTTATTTTGAGAAAAAAAGTCTTGGGAGAATGGTAAGAAATATTTTCTAATGAAATTTCTTAAGATATTTTTTCTTTAGAATTTTTTTCTTAAATCTAGAAAAATGTTCTTAAGAAATACTTGGGAAGAAATTTTTTCTTAAGATCTCCCAAGAAAATTTTTTTTGAGAAACTTTTTCTTAAAATTTTTTCTCACTTTGAGGAAAAAACAAGAAATTTTTTCTTGGATTTCTATGATTCTTTTTTCATCATGCATATCAATTTTCTTAAAATAAGTATGATCAACTGTGGATTTATTATTTATAAAATGCAAGCAATCATGCATTAACATTCTCTTCATAAACAAAGGACTCCCAATGCTTTACATATATAATTCTATATTTAACATAAGCATACAGACTGCATGGTTACATTATTAAAGAATATGTTTAAAAATAGGTATTATCAGAAGCAGTTCATTGTGAAGTTCTAGTTCGACTTGAAATTCTTATAATCAGTTAGTACTAACTCAAAGGAGGGCTTAATATCTGTTGGAACAATCATGTCCTTAAATATATATTGGTGAAGAAAGGTCAAACCCATTTCATGAAAGCGGGGATAATCAAAGTCAAGCAGATAAAAACTTGCCAACAAAGCAAGCACTCCTTCATTCAGCTTTTCCTCGTCCAACTCCGCAACCATCTTCTTTCCAATAATAAGGTAGCACCTAGTTCTTTCGATCAGGAGGACAGGGACATTACCGGAACGTTTTGAGCACCAGGCCTCACGGTCTTCATGGTCCTTTGAAAGAAATGGCATTCAAAGATATTATATAGATACAGTACAAAATAAAACCTATAAATAAAAGCGTATTTTAAAAGTAGGTGTATTAGGTAGGTCAACCATACAGAGATGATTTTTTTTTCAAAAAAAGAACAAACCTTTAGTTTGTATACTAGGTCCAACACTTTCTTGGGCTGCTTCTTTGCGCTGAATATATAAGGTAAATTTTGCAAAACATGCAGAATCTTGGAATCTATAACAAGAAAATCAATTTAATATCTTTCCATGTAAAAGTACTGAATAAGTTGTGACTTGTATTCTCACTCTTATTGAAGTTACAAATAAGGCACTGCCTTGGTGAGTAAAGTTACTTGATGTTAGACAGAGTAAAGGAAAACAGAGCAGGAAAAAATTAAACTAAATCGCTAAAATAAACTTACTTGTCTTTGGACTTTTTGGTGGGCTTATTCCTTTATTTATGCCATAGTATATTATGGGCTCAATTTCATCAGCTAACAATCCGATACACTGGTTTTTAAATTCCTCTCTATCTCCAGAACTCTCGACACCCAAGACTCGTCTGGCTTCTTCGATTATCTGTAAGAAATAACTTCATTAAACTTATGACAATAACTAAACCTTTCTCATGAGGTATCTACAAAACATACTTGAAGAACTTAAGCTTGAACTAGAAACATTTTGAAGCCATCATTCTTACTAACTTTATAGCTGTACAAATCATATACCTCAATATGGTCTTTAAAACAAGGATATACATCCATCAGTTTTTCAACCCTTTCGCCAGCAGACATAGCTTGCAGCCAACTCCGCCTTGCACTATACTCTTTGTTCAAATAGGAATTCACAACAGCTACATTTGGCTTTTTTTTTCAACTTCTTTCATCAAAGCAGCATAGTGTCGCTTCATAACTTCTTTGCCATCGGTAGGGTCACCTATTCAAGTACAATAAGAAGAAAAACTATATACCGGTACACACTGGACTAGCAGCTAACATGTATGGTAGAGCATAGTACAGGTACCGGTAGCAAGGTTCTTACTTTTCTCACAAATGACCTCATTCTCACAGCTATCAGTTGTAGTTTTCAAGATCTCGAGATCATCACCCTGATTTTTTTGTGGACCAGTCTTTTTCTTCTTTGTCTCAGCTTCGACTCCTTGGTTAATTTCACCATTTGAATATTTTCTTTTATTAGGACAATGTCCTTGTGGCTTCATCACAGGCTTGGTGTTGCTAAGCCTCCTCTTTAGTGCTTTTAGTACCATACACTGTGAAAATAAAACAATAATTACAACATTAAGTAACTTAACCTTATTAACATAAATAAATTACAAACCTTTAACATTGTTAGTTCAACCTTTGAGGTGTTTATACAAGAATAGGGAAAAACTATTGGGCAAGGACACTACCAAATAGTGCTGTGATGTTTGGACAGACATCCATGATGTATTAGGCAAAAGATCAATGTGTTCTAGGCATGCATAATAGGAATTATATCATGTAGTTACTGCACATTAGTTACTTACATGACCAGTCTCCTCATCTTTGAGGCATGGGTAGGCTATAATCAAAGATTTAGCCATCTCTGAAATTTCTATTGAAGTGGGGAATCTGTTAAACGGTGGAACTGAAGAAGCTGATACCATGTTATTAATGGTACCACGTATCAACCTCTCTCGTATCTTTTTATCCATCTTCCCTTCACGAACTGCAGCTTGAATATGGAGATCCGAATAAAACGTATAAGTAGGGGCATTTACCACCAATGGTTTTATATGACTCTGAATATCTTTAGGGGCAGGTAAAAGATCAGTTGTGTCACCAGCAGTTAAGTTATTATTGCCAGGTGATGTAGATTTGAGCTTGGTAATTGGTGAACATTCAACATCATCAATAAAAAAACTTGAGTCTTCACATGATGATGGTGCTGGCGAAGAAGTACGGATAGTTGATGTGCTCGGCTTTGAGGAAATAGAACTGTTGTCATCCTTAAATGAAACAAAACCAGCATTTTTTAGAGTTGGTTGCACCTTAGTGCAAATGCATGCACCATTCTTTACTCTCAAGCAAATTTAATAGATTATTTTAATCTCTTTGGGTGATGTTATTTGCAACTTAATACTTAATACAACATTTTGCTTTAAATAACAATCATGTTACCCTATATCTTTCATTATTCCTTATAATTTATTTCAATGATTGAAATGTTGCAGTTATATTTGATTTTGAAGAGAATAGCCAAAATACTAGACCAAGTCCTCAAGTCTATGCTCTTATGTATATCACCAAACAGTGATTTTGAAACAATACCCCTTTGAACTACCTTGGAAATTTCTTTAAAATCAATAAAATGGCCACACAATTCAACAAAAATTATAGTAATTTAGTAACTCACATTTAAGGATGCCTGTATGATTTTCCATACTTTCGATCGTTGTAGCAATTTCCGCCCTCCACCAGGGAAAATTTCAGAAAGGGCTTCATAACACAGCTGCTGAATGTCCTCTGTTTCTACTATTTCGTTCGCTACAGTAAAACAGTAATACACATTTTAAAGAAAAACAGAGCCTAAAACTCAATAACGATTTGAATTTCAAGGATCTGATATAAAGTAAGCTAGTAAAGGCTATGTTTAGTTGGCATTTATCTTCCAACTCAGAAAACCTTGCCCCAGATACGGTTGGCTTTTTAAAAGCGCATCTATGATCTATGTATGTAAAATAAAGCTAGTAAATAAAACAGGTTAACATACTGTAACCGCTTTCAAAATATACGAACAGATTTTAGTCGCTAATTTTTGCCTATATCTTTGGATTGAATCACTTTACACGTGCTCGAGCAGACAAGCACCCAATCATTCAACTAACTATTGATGAATATTTGAACCAGTTTACCTTCTAAAATATCGCCGATTTCTTTAGACGCATCTTTAATTCTATTGAAGAGCGACTTGCCTTCAATATTCATGATTTCTTCGTTCTCAGAGATTAAAATAAACTTCACAAAACGAAAATTCAAATCCCCCGGGACAATGATCACAACACAATTGAAAGCGTGCGATATGCAGATGTTGGCAATTCTTCCCACAATTCCGTTCGCTTCCTTTTTTGAAAAATAGTGCTGGTCAAAAATTAGCGCTTCCACTTGTTTTGAAATTCTAAGGGCATTCTAAGAATACCGAAAGAATATATATTTCGAGATATTTTATATATCTTATATTTTATATATGTTTCTAAAAAAATCGCGCGTAAAATTTAGAGAATATTAAATACCCGTCATAGGAAATCTGATAAAAAATTTAGAAAATTTATCTTAAATTTCGAAATCTTATCTCCTAAATGGAAGCACTCGAATAATGAATATCAAATATTTTCAAAACATTACATACTTTTAATGTAATATCATTCAGGTTCGCGAAGGCACGAGTAAAATATAGACGTTCAGAAGGGTTTTATAGTAAATTAAAGTGGCCGCTTGGCAAGGAATCAGGAATGGATGCGGAAATCCAGTCACTAACGACTTGGAAATGCTTTATTTGTACTGCATTCGTCGCTCTTACATTCAGAGCATTGATGGGCCACTACTACACAGTACACAGTAATAGTCCAAATTTTTTTGTCAGATGCCATGTAAATGGTTGTCCTGCGACATATAGAAGGTACCATTCGTTTTATAAGCATGTTGTGAGAAATCATAGTCAGGAATACGATGCCTTAAATGAAGCAACGGTGTGTCAAAGTCTAAATGGAAGCCTATGTCAATCCATTTCTCGGACTGAACCAGTGCATAGCAATAGTGATGATGAAAACTTCAATATGAATGATAACGAAGGAGTTTCTTCTGACACTGGAAGTACTGATTCTTTGCTGGATTACAGTGAGGACAGTGAAAATGAAAATGAGTGTGGAAATCCCCTTGCTGAGGTTAGTTTAATAGCATCACTTTGTAACCTAATATTTCTATCATATGTATGATGTATCACATATCCTGCTGTAAATATGCTTAGCTCAGTTTGCACTTATGATGGATGGCTTAGTGTAAGCCAAAACATGTTTGCATTAAAAATTTAGTCGTTTACCTCAAATGTGTAACTTGTCTTGTGCTATTACAAAATCACTTTAATAATGCTATATAATTTATATACTTTTAATTAGAAATTAAAAGTGTATTATTTGGATTTATTTCAGGCTTTCAGCTCATTGCCTTATTAGGAATGTAGACATGATTAAATGTTTTTGAACAACCAGCCCCACATCTACCCCTATAGAAAGCTAATGATAAATATTTTCCTATTAAGTGACAATTTATGCACCCAGATGTGCTCCCTCTTAGTACTTTAATACTCTGTCTAATGACAGGCCATTTATCTTATCAGTGGTTGAGTAGCAGGTACAGTCAGTAAGTTAACATAATATTTACTATAAATCATCTTGATGGTGATCGATTTGTGAACTTTCTCACATATTTTTCTCTTTTATTTAGAACTTAGATTTTCGTCAAAATGAAGCTCTTTTTGTGTTAAAGGTGAAGGAAAGAAACCGTATTACACAGGTTAGGAAACTTGTTTGTGTTAGTGGGTTTAGCTCATTTAGTTGCATTTTTTCTAAATGCCTGGCAACTTAACTCACAAATTGGAGGCTCCATCCCTCACAAGTAAAATGGTCAGATGTTACGCAGAGTAAAAATAAATAAAATATAGCAGCATTGAATTCTTCCATTTATTTTTTACTTTGTCTAACACTAAATTATTTATTTGTCAAGAGGAGAGTCGTGCATTTTAATAGGGATTCGATTTATTCACTTGCTATAAATTATTGAATTTGATTTATTTCCATGGAATGCATTCCCACAGATAGTATATATTAAGCCATTATTTTCATAGTTTAACACAAACAAACCTTCACTTTAGGTGGCTCTTGATAACATTATTGAGAGTACATCCACAATAATGAATAGTGCCTTGGAGCTTGTAAAGAAAAATATTATTCAAGCCTGGGAATCTCATGAACCCGGACATGATTTTGCACAAACTATTACTGACTTGTTTGGTAAAATTCCAAGCCCTTTCTCATCTTTGGGAACAAATTATTTACAAGCATCATATATAAAGAAACACCTAAACTATGTTGATACTAAAGAGATTGTTTTGGGGAAAAAAATCTCAAGAAAGAATTCCAAGAATAAAAGATTGCTTATTGAAAAGGAAGAGACTTTCCAGTATATACCACTAATTGAGAGCCTTTGCCAATTGTTATCAAACAAAAAGATAGCAAAAGTTGTTATTCGGAAACCTAATCAATGTGCGGAGGACATCTTCTATGATATTTGTGACGGGAAAGTATTTAAATCTGATCACTTTTTCACTGAACATCCGGATGCACTTCAAATAATAATTTACCATGATGCTGTGGAAGTATGTAATAAGAACAGTTTCCTGACGTTAACATTATCCCCAAACAACACTACATGATACACATCCCAACAATGATAAAGGAACTTGGACCCCTAATTCGCCATTCATGTTTTGCCTTTGAGTCTGCACATAACTACTTCAAGGATATAGCTCGTAAACAGAACTTTAAGAACCTCTCGAAGTCTTTAGCTGAGCGCTGTCAGTTCAAAGAATGTGGAAATTTTGCTGATTTCAATGAATCTCCACAATCACACCCACTGTTGACTTCTGAAAAAATCTTTGGATCATTGACCTTGGCTAGTGGACAGCAAAAAAGAAATTTGCGTCAAAAGTTAGATGTTTCTGGCTTACTACCTTGCATTCAACTTCAGAATGTTTACAAGACTACTTGGGTGTCTTGCTATGGGACAAAGTTTAAAAGTGGTGGTATTTTTATCTGCAGTGTCAATGAAGATTTGGTTAGACCAAACTTTGGAACCATATCTGTCATCTGGATAATAAGTGACTTTATCTACTTTGAATTCACGGCATTGGACACACTTTGTTTTAGTGAGAAATTCCAGGCCTACCATGTGAAGACCGCTGAAGAAGTTGAAACAAAGGTTTGTGCGTATGAAAGCTTAGTGGACTTTAATGTTCTTCACAAGCATGAAGACAATGATGGAGAAATGTATGTGCCAGTCAAATATGACATACTTGATTTGATGGAACAGCATTTAAAAGGCGACAACCCACTTAAATATTAGACTGCATGACTGGACGGTTGTTGGCATGCAAATTAAGAACAGTACCATTATGTACTAAGATCTTACCAGGAGACAAGTTTCACATGATTTGATAATATTGGTATATACCCCTTGTGTCCAAACTCAAAAGATTGTATTTACCTTGACAATTATACCAGCCCAATTATAGCACCTATATTATTGGGTAATGGGTTTCTTATTCTAAGAATGGCTATTATTTCTTATCTTAAGAAAATTGGAAAATTAAATTCTTGTTGTAAGAAAATTTTCCTATAATATCCTGGCAGTTTCTTATTTAAGACACCCTTTCATATTTTAGGAAATTGACATATGGCTATTGTTCCAAATATTGTTTCTTATTTGAAAAAAATTCTGATCATGTTCTAGCACTTTCTTGTTTAAGAAAATATTTCTTATTTTAGTATATGGCTATTGTTGTATAATTTCTTATTTTAAGAAAATTCGAAAAATAAAATGCCCAATTTTAAGAAAATTTTTCTTATATCTTAATTACTTTGTTAATTTGATAAAGTTTTATAGGATATTACAAAAAATTCATGTTATATAACTTTACTGACTGTAAAAACCCAATTAAGAGAGGTTTTTCTCGAAATATCTCAAATTCAGAGATTTTCTTGTTTTAAGAAAAATTAAGAAAACATTTCTTATAATTCGTTGATTTCTTAAATTAAGAAACGGTTTTCTTGTTTTAAGAAAACGTTTTCTTGTTTTAAGAAATTAATTCTCAAAATAAGAAAATTATATTTTCTTAAGAAAATGATTTTTTGCTGTGTATAGGATCATATAACACATTGTTTAATTTTTGTTTTTTGAATGCCCGACTGATGCCAATTATTTAATTGTGCGACGTGAAATGATTTAACAAGGTCTGTTCGACGTTATTTTGAACGTAAGAGCCTAGCCTCCAGGCAACGTTATATTTCAAGGTTATAGCGACGTTACAGCGACGTTACAGCGTGGTCTAGTGACATTCGAACAAACTGAACATGCCCCATTTTAATTATTGCTTTCAACTGAATTCCGAAGTAATTCTGGCTGGAGCGCTACAAAGGAAGGTTTCTGACAAGGGCGCTTGGCATTACGCCTAAGCGCGGGTTCCGCACCAATGACGATGACCAATCAGAACGAGTTTATCGGAAACGCTGCGTGCTGATTGGTTGAGCTAATGCTGTGTCGGAGCATATTATGTTTATTTCGTGGTTCACTTCGCCCGAACTATCCCTAATCTGGTGTGGAAATTTCTGGCTTTGTGTTTTATTTGTGCGTCGATATTTTCGTTTATCCACATCGTTTGCAAACATCAACGCGTTTAATGTAAGTATAAATACTGCGTATATGTTTCGTTTAATTGTGTAATCAGGGCTGTGGCAGCGTTTGTTTATAGTATTATTCTTCATTATTTACAGCGTCTATTGACTACACTCTGTGTCTGTTGCCTGTTGGTCTGCCGCGCTCGATACCTATACCTACTTCAGATCAATACAGCGACTTTGTTGTAAGTATAGATATAAAAGTTGTTATTTAGAATGGTATTGATATTATGTACTACGATAATCGCTCTATCATGTCACTTTTATAATGGCATGCAGTCTAAAGTCCATTGATGATCGCCTAGCTACCTGAGTCATCAAAGGAAATAATATATGTCTGCTCAAACAATTTCTTTGTTGGTTTGTGCTAAACAAGTCTTAATCAGCTTGGTTTATTTCTTAAAAGAAAAATATAAACTAGCAGTTGCTTTTATAGCTTATTATAAAAAATATAGATATGTATTGAAGTATTAACATACATGTATTTGGGAATAATTAAGGCCTTAGGCTATTACCTGAAAAGCAAAGGGTGTTGTTTTTCGAAGATGGCCACCGAAAGTCTTTCACATACAAAAATTTTCTAAAAAAATGGGTCACTTTTAACTATTGCTTATTCTCGAAGTCAGGCCAAAAATATTTGTTCGAAATGTTCACAATTACAATCTCACATAAACCCTGATACTTGTATAAACTGGGCAGTTTAATAGAATGAACAGACTGTGGCAGGGCAAAACTATGCATGTTTGGCACACTGGAATTGTGATTTAAAACAAAAGCAATAAAAACAAAGAAATATAGCAAGCAAATGCAGATGATATGGCTAGTACCAAGGCCAGGTTAAAATGGATTGCTATACCCAAAATATTGATTATTTATAATATCACATTAGACCCGCAGTCTTCAACACTTGACGTTAAAACAATGTTTTGAATTTTTTTTTTAATATTTTCATATTTCTTTTGTAGTTTAATTTCTTGGTTGCCGTATGCGGGCATACGTGTGCTGTAAGCGTACGGCGCATTCTAACAAAGATTGGAACAAACAAACTTTGGCGTAAAGCTTGAAAGGAAGGAAAGCCAAGCGACCGTTTAGGGATCTCTCGATTTCCACTCTTGTGATCTGGCGTTTTAGATATAAAATTATTTCATATTTTAGATATAAATTTACTTACTAATATGTATATTTAGGTATTTATTTTAGATACAAAATTATTTGCTAATATTTATTATATTTACTTAATATTTGCTACAATAATTATTGGGAAAAATTAATAAAAAACGATTAGGAAATACGCGATCTTCTTATATTTTGAATTAATACGACATACACAAGAGGAATTAGTACTTCCTAACGTTTATATTGCGTTTTTGTAGTCTTCAGAATAACGTTCTAACGTTTTCTGCTCGTTGCAGATTCAACGTTGCCGCACAACGTCGTTGATACAACGTTATAAAAAGCCCCAATCACAACGTTGTAGGAACGTGAATTCCTAACGTTAGTCTTCGCACGTTATTTGCACGTTCTTCCCGGGACGTCGACGCGACGTTGTTGAAACGTATAACGCAACGTTATTCGCAACGTTGACACTACGTTTTTAGGAGTCCACAAAAAAACGTTACCACAACTTAAAACTCCAACGTTGTCAGGACGTTTGCGAAACGTTCAAACAACGTTGCCGCAACGTAATTGTGTTAGCTGGGTTTAACCACTCCCAATTTACATTGTGTCTGAATACCACCTTGAAAACACCAGAGTGGATATAACAAACCAAAGAACTTACTGTGACACACTGGGTTACAAGTGAGAACATGCAAGAACCAACACATGACAAGCAAACCTTGTGGCACTCTCCTGTGAAAACAACAAAACTCCATGACCTTAACCAGTCACCTAAATCTGGCATCCTGGGCATCCTGCTGACATAATAAGAAAATACTTGTCCTTAGCAGAATTAGGCCATAAATGTGACCAGATACACGAACAAAACTTAATTGTTCAACCGCACGAATCAAATACACTTCAAATCAAACCATGGACATGGTCACTGGAAACATAGTCAGGTCCAACAGTCATTATGTAATATAATGTACAATCCATATGTTGTATATATACAGTAATTTAAATGCATGACAACGTCCACATCGACTTCGAATTACCGTTGATAATTCAAACACCAACTAACAAATGATTTCTATATGCCTGCAGCCTTGCACTCACAATTACATGCACGTTTTACAAGCTTATTATAAAACTTCTAAATACATACAAACCTTAAAAACCTTGACTACCTCAAATTGATAACCCTAATCACGATTGAAACCCTCACGGTTGATGCATCGCCGAACATTGACCCACCGAAGTTTTTAGGACCCAGGGTAGTTTACTACCCACAGATGACGATATTGCACTGAAATTTTGTAATTCCTCGTCAAAAGTCCAAAACACTTCGACCATACTTGTATTAATTCGTGACTACGGTGATAAAACGACCATACTACAAGAAGTACAACCCACGACCAAAACACACTTAAATCTCGGATGTCCACACACAACCATAATTGACACGTAAACCCCCACTATCCCCAATACAGACTTTGACACCTGACCTCAGTGACGTAACATACTAACACATTTTATGCACACACATGTAATTTCAGCCCCTTTTCGATCAAGCCTCTTGAACGAACACAAGCTCGAACACAAGCTCTGCTCTTAAGCAATTCCAAGCAATTTTTACACTCGGTTTCATATCAACTCTGAGATGGCTCACAGCGTTGGTTTATGCAAGGTCAACAACAGCTTTGGTAAGACACATAGTTTAATTTTACCATTTTACCTTTTACGAATACACTCTCACGCAGATTTGATTCTTTATGATTCTCTTTTAAACACACACCACTTTTACTCACTTCTTATCTTCATTGTAATCACCAAGAAGAAGTTACACAGTTTGAATTGCGCACATTTGAAGACGCATCCACCCAGGGTGTGGGGGCTGCGGTATATGCCGTTGTCAGACAACCATTAGGGCCGATGCAACGACTGGTGACAGCTAAGAGCAGACTAGCCAAGTGAAGTTTGACTGTGCCTAGGCTAGAGTTGTTTGGTGCACACATGACCACAAACCTGGCAGTGAACGTGCGAAATGCCCTTCCAAAGAATCCTGTGCCTTCTATTCATGCATGGATCAAAAGCATGGTTGCATTGCATTGGGTATGCGGAAATGAAATGTATAAACAATTTGTAGAAAATCGTGTGGCCAAAATCTAAGCGCACCCGGAGGTATGTATCTAGTTCGGACAACCCTGCTGACATCGCAAGCCATGGAAGAACAGTCTCATCTTCAGAGTTGTGGTGGACAGGACCAGAGTTGCTCCAAGATCCTGCTCAATGGCCAGATAACCCTGTGTTACAGTCTTTGCCAGAGGTGGAAGCTCAAGCAAAGGTAATTTGTGAAATCCTATGTGTCTCCAAATCAGAATCAACAACTGATGAATTTGACGACATCTTTTTGTGGAACGACCTTAAGAGAACTCTACGGATATGTCCCTGGATAAACTGATTTATCCACAACTGTAGACATCAATATAAGTGAGTCAGACCCCTTGCTTCCCCTTCCCTTTCCTATTTACCTTCCACGTGATGCTATATTCACCAAAAAACTAGTTCAGTCTGACAAGAGCCATACATTTGGAACTCTTGCAAAACCTTGAGACGCCCACATTTCTCGTAAGCCTGGAGAAGTAGGTCGCCCTGCGTGGGCATCTACGTGTAATATATTCTGATAATGGTGGAACATTCATGAAAGCGAGCACCAGGCTGAAGCAAATACGTAAGGATGAGCGAATACATGGGCTTGTTGAGGAATACGAGAT